CGGACACAAACTGGAACACAGGAGGTTCCACTTCAATTGGAGAAGAAACTTCTTCTCAGTGAGGGTGACAGAGCCCTGGCCCAGGCTGCCCAGAGAGGTTGTGGAGTCTCCTTCTCTGCAGACATTCAAACCCCGCCTGGACGCCTTCCTGTGCAACCTCATCTGGGTGTTCCTGCTGCGGCAGGGGGATTGGACTGGATGAGCTTTGGAGGTCCCTTCCAATCCCTCACGTTCTGGGATTCTGTGATTCTCCATCTTCAAGCTGAGATGCACAGGATCTGGGTCAGACTGATCATAATGTGAAATTCGGAGCCATGCCCGGGGCCACGTACGCAGCGATGCGGTGAAGGAAGCTGCAGGGTGGAAATAGAGTTCAGGAAATAACTTCCACTCTGCCCTGGATGGGAACCTTATGCAAGCGAGGGCTGGTTTTGGAGAGCTGCTGCGTTGGGAGGGTGAGATGATGGGACTTGAAAGTTTTGTTTCTCTGGGCCACCTAAAGTCAAACTTGTGCAAGGCAGTGTCAGTCCAACTTTTTGGGGATCTCTTGGGTGTTTTGAGTGTCTAAATTAGAATAATTTAAGCTGGAAGAGACCTCTAAGATCATCCAGTCCAACATCACCCCAACCCCACCATGGCCACTAAACCATGGCCCCAAGTGCCACATCCACCACTGCTTGAACCCCTCCAGGGATGGGGACTCCACCACTGCCCTGGGCAGCCCCTGCCAGGCCCTCACAACCCTTCAAGTAAAGAAATTCCTCCCAAAATCCAACCTCACCCTCCCCTGGCACAACTTGAGGCCATTTCCTCTGCTCCCATCGCTTGTTCCTGGGGAGCAGAGCCCGACCCCCCCTGGCTACCCCCTCCTTTCAGGAGCCAAAGAGGGGATGAGGGCTCCCCTCACCTCCTCTGCTCCAAAGTAAACAACCCCAAAATTAATTTATGTATTAATTTAATACATTTTAAGCTGCTGCTTTCTGAACCCTCAGTTGTTCCTTGGTTTTGCTCTTTCATCTTGAAAGTTAAGGTTGGAAGGAATGGTCCTTGTGCCCAGTGAATGTGTGGTTTGCATGGGTGCACAACACACTGTGCGTTGAGGGGCATCTTGAAGGTTCCTCAGCGCTTCCTTGTGCGTTCCTGGCTTCGTTTGCCATTGGACTCAATGATCTCGGGGGTCTTAATGACTCTGTGATTCATTCCTTATGGATGCAGATGCTGTAGGGAGCCTATGTTAAGTCAACACATGAAGGCGCCTCAGGGTTTGCTTTCTGCCCTTGGGCACAACCTCTGCAAATCCTGATTTTCCTCTTGTCCTTGCTAACCCAAAAACCCCAGATCAGACTGGGAGCCTGGGAAGTGATGTGGTTTGGTTTCTCTAACACCAGAGATGGAAATGGTTTCACAGAATGGCTCGGTTGGAAAAGCCCTCTGAGATCACCATGTCCAACCGTTCCTGTCTACCCCCTAAACCATATCCTTAAGTACCTCATCTACCCGCTCTTTAAACACATCCAGGGATGGTGACTCCACCACCTCCCTGGGCAGCCTGTTCCAGCTTCTGACGACCCTCTCAGGAAAGAACTTCCTCCTTCTCTCTAACCTGAACCTCCCTTGGCACAGCTTGGTGCCGTTTCCCCTTGTTCTATCCCCCATCACCTGGGAGAAGAGCCCAGCACCCACCTCTCCACAACCTCCCTTGAGGCAGTTGGAGGTGGTGATGAGGTCTCCCCTCAGCCTTCTCTTCTCCAGGCTAAAATTCCTTGAACTTTAACTGAACAATTCCTTGTTCAGTTAAATATAGGCAGAGAAAAGTCCTGCTGCTGAGTCTGCATAACCTCTTTATTATTTTCCCCCAGAAATGGGGTTGCTGTAGTGTCCCAGTTCCTGTGCGGGTCTGAAACAGAGACATCATCAGTGCTGTTTTATAGTAACCACTTCAGAAAGTGCTACCATGTTAATAGGGACTAAAAAAAGCCCCACGTGAACCCAGTGGTTGCTAATGCTGGAATATTCGTGTGCCAGACGTAGAAACAGCAGCCTGGGCTGGTGGAGGTGTCCCTGCCCATGGCAGGGGTTGGGCTGGGGTTGCTTTGAGGTCCCTTCAACCCAAACCATTCGCCTGGGATTGGGTTTAAGAGTTCCCAGGTGCTTCCCTGAGCCCACTTGTATGGCAGCTCATTTGGGGTTGTTTGTTTTGGAGCAGAGGAGGTGAGGGGAGCCCTCATCCCCTCTTTGGCTCCTGAAAGGAGGGGGAGCGAGGGGGGGTTGGGCTCTGCTCCCCAGGAACAAGCGATGGGAGCAGAGGAAATGGCCTCAAGTTGTGCCAGGAGAGGGTGAGGTTGGATTTTGGGAAAATTTCTCAATGGAAAGGGTTGTGAGGGCCTGGCAGGGGCTGCCCAGGGCAGTGGTGGAGTCCCCATCCCTGGAGGGGTTCAAGCAGTGGTGGATGTGGCACTTGGGGCCATGGTTTAGTGGCCATGGTGGGGGTGGGTTGGGTTGGACTGGGTGATCTTGGAGGTCTCTTCCAACCTCAATGTCTCTGTGATTCTCTAATTCCTGTCACCACTGGGGCTTTGGGGCCACTTGCTCCGTTAATTAAAGCGCAGTCATTTAGGCGTGGAGGAAAGGGGACTGAATATCTCGGTGGGACAAGGACTAAGTAATTTCTTGTGTATAAGCTTGGTCTGACCACAGACCGGTGGCTGTAGGTGGCTCCTGGATTCGGGTTATGCAGGGAAGGGGATGCTGAATGTCACCATCGTTGGCTCTTAGTTTCCTTCAGAGCAGGAGGGTGGTGCTGAGTTGCAGTTGGGACAGACCCGAAATGAAACTGTCGAGAGGAGATGCTCCAAAAAGGCCACTCGTGCTCCTGACACCTAAAATAGCCAGGATCTTTAATCTGAAGCAAACATTTGAGCTGATGGCTCGGTTTATGGACTGGTGTCAACTGCTATTGAGGATTTGGAGCGAGGTTGTAAATTTGGGCTTTTTTTCCTTGTGCCAAGTGAAATTTTCTGAAGAAAAGGATGAAATGGTCACAGCTCCGCGTTGTTGTTAAATTAACTGACCTAAAAGCCGTCATTATTTCATTTTCAAACTGAAAACAAGGGAGGCCGTGGTTGATGAGATGACCGCGTGAGATCCCCAGTTCTTCAGAGATCGACCAGTGCCTGAATAAAACTTGTACAAGTGATTTACTGCAACTCAGTGACGGGTTTGGCTCAGTGATTTGTACGCTGACGCGTCTTGAAAATAGTCAAAAACTATCAGAGAGAAGCTTTTTTTAAACAGGACTCGTTCACTTTAATATAAATATTTTAATTAAAAAAAAAAACCCAACCGTAATTCATCCAACTCTGCCCCAGCACAAAGGGTGAAGAGCTGCAAACCTCTCACCTCCACATTTCCATTCATTGGGAATTCGTTGGGTAAACCGAGAGAAAATGCAGTTGCTGCTTGGAGGAGTCTGACCTTGTATTGTTAAAGGCAAAAAAACAATAGATGGCACTGAATTATTTTCCATAATATCCTCGCGTGCGGTCGCAGAAAGAACAAGAGCAGCGCGGTGCCTTTGTCCGGGAGGAATGTGAGGAGTTTGCTCTGGGCCAGGGCCGTTTGCCGTCCACACGGAGGAATTTCCTGCGGTCGGAGGAGTGGGAGCTTCGTGGGTTTGGGATAAGAGGAGCTGCGTTGTGGTGGGGCCGCTCGGGTCAGGACCCCGCGGACAAACGCCCCTTGTGTGTCCCTGCGCCTCTTGGCGCCCGCGGGTCTGCGTCTTCAGCTTTATTTCTGTGGTTTGTTTTCTAATGCAACTCGGTGGTTCTGGTCCGACGTGGTGAGGGTTGGTTGTGAAAGGATGAGTCGCTTCACCAAAGCTGCTTCGTGTCTTGTTGTTTGGGTGGTGGAGCTCAAAACTGCACCTCCACGGCCTTGTTCTTGACCGCATCCCCTCTTTGGCTCCTGAAAGGAGGGGGTAGTGAGGGGAGGTCGGGCTCTGCTCCCCAGGAACAAGCGATGGGAGCAGAGGAAATGGCCTCAAGTTGTGCCAGGGGAGGGTGAGGTTGGATTTTGGGAGGAATTTCTTTACTGAAAGGGTTGTGAGGGCCGGGCAGGGGCTGCCCAGGGCAGTGGTGGAGTCCCCATCCCTGGAGGGGTTCAAGCAGTGGTGGATGTGGCACTTGGAGCCGTGGTTTAGTGACCATGGTGGGGTTGGGTTGGGTTGGACTGGGTGATCTTGGAGGTCTCTTCCAACCTCAATGACTCTGCGCTTCAAAAAGCTCAACTTTGCTGGAACTGGACAACTTGGAGAGGCCCAAAACGCTTCTGTTCTTGGGAGATTTTGGGCAGACTACGAGGTATCATGGCACACCATCACCAGCATGAGGAGCACCAGAGTGCATCCTAATTCTGCACCACTTGGATCTTTGGCCAAGATCTTGGATCATTGGCCAAGAGGAAATGGCCTCAGGTTGTGCCAGGGAGGGTGAGGTTGGATCTGGGGGAGATGTCTTTATTTGAAGAGTTGTGAGGGCCTGGCAGGGGCTGCCCAGGGCAGTGGTGGAGTCTCCATCCCTGGAGGGGTTCAAGCAGTGGTGGATGTGGCACTTGGGGCCATGGTTTAGTGGCCATGGTGGGGTTGGGTTGGGTTGGACTGGGGGATTTTGGATCTCCTTTTTCCCTTTTTCTTTCTTTTTTCTTTCTTCCCCTTTCTTTAATCCTCTTTTATTCTTCTTTCTTTTCTCAAGGTTCTGATTAAACATCACATCCAATGCAGTGTTCACGTGGTACAAATCAGTTTAGACACCATAGCTGTTTGTTCCTGTACTGGGCTTTGTAAACTTCCAGGAATTACTGAGTGCTAACCCAACAGTTTCTCACAGCACAGGAGCCCCACAGCCATCACCGTCAAACCGAATAAACTCCAAGGGTCTCATATTAAAACCCTTGTTTCTTTTCCTCTTCCCTTGTCGCTCTCCAGGTTGCAAAGGTGCAGAAGCATGGCCGACCTGGACCACAACCTCAGCCTCGCGGACGCTCTGACGGAGCCGCCTCCTGAGATCGAGGAGGTGGTGAAAAGGGACTTCATCGCCACGCTGGAAGCGGAGAAATTCGAGGACGAGGTTGGCGAAACGGTGGATAAAACAGACTATGTCCCTCTGCTGGACGACGACGATGCCAAAGCCGGGAGCCAGGAGCCGAAAAGCAAAGCCCACGCGGACGGCGTTCAGGTGGAGCGTAAGTGTCCGAACCCAAAAAGCCGCGTCGCTTCGCACCCCGGAGCGCTTTTGCTTGTGGCGATAGCGCAAATCACAGAATCACAGAATCCCAGAGCG